GACGTACACGAGACAATTCAAAATTTCACTGACCCACACAGGGACAAAGACTTACGAATAGACCCTGCCACAGTTTCCGAAATAAAAACAATATTTAAAAAATTGCCGAACAAAAAAGCACCAGAACCCGACGGACTGTAAAACATAATAATTGAACAACTACCGACAAACTCCTTCATTTTACTTGCCCGCACAACGAGTAGAGTTATGACGAAAGGCTGCTTTCCTGCTTCATGGAAAACTTTCACCATATTTCCAATAGTGAAGCCAAGGAAACAGCCAGACATACCACCGCATGGTATGAACTACAGACCGATCAGCCTCTTCAATACAATGAGTAAGGTAGCCGAAAAGTTACTACTCAAAAGACTTAACAAACACATAAGACACAACAAAATCATATCTGACATACAATACGGTTTTAAAGAACGACACTCCACACTACACTCACTGACACTACTCATAGAAAACATAGTTCTTAATTTTAACAGACAAAACCATACCGGATTGGTGTTACTCGACTTTGAGAAGGCGTTTGACATCATCTGGATGGACGGACTTATTTTTATTTATAAACTCATCCAACTCAACTTTCCGCCGTACATTACAGGAACATTACACTCATACCTCTCAGACCGCAACTTCACCTTACAAGTAGACAATGGACTTTCGACGGTTAAACAAGTGACGGCGGGAGTACTGCAAAGCTTGATTCTGGGACCGTCACTGTTTAATGTCTACATTCACGACATACCCACTGACGCCGACACAACATTACTGACATTTTTTGACGACACTGCCATATACAAATCATCGCAATCACCTACGCTACTAACTACAAAGATACATAGACACATAGACAAGCTAACCGAATATACTGATAAATGGCAGATCAGAATCAATCCGCAATAGACAAAGGCAAATTTATTTACAATGAGCTGTCATGACATGAAAAACTGAAAGTAATGGGCCATGAGGCTGTGTGGTCCATGGATGTCAAATACCTCGGTGTGACATTGGACCATAGACTCAGCTTTACGAAACATATTAATACAAAAATTTGACAGGCCTACGGGATGTTAAATCTACTGAGACCTCTCTTGAACCACAACAGCCCGCTAAACGTGAAGAACAAACGGACACTCTGCTTGATACTTATAAGACCGTTACTGATATACGCCGCTCCAGCATGGAACGCGACGACTAAGACCAACTTATGGAAAATACAGACAATACAAAATAAGACACTACGACTAGTACTTAACAAAATAAGGGACCCACTGACTAGACATTACTGCTCTACAAAATACATACGTAAAAAAACTGACGTACCGACAATACTCGACTATATAAAAAAGCTCACCGAAAATTTTTACCAAAAATGTGGGGATTACCCTAATATCAACATCGCGGGTCTTGGCCAATTTACTAAAGACATGGTTTGGTATGGCAAATGCACCAAGCCAAATTATATGCTGATCGAGCCCGTAGCAATGTTATGAGCATCCCGTGGACATTAATAAATTCAGTGCACATTACAAAGCAATCGTCAAAATTTCCGGGCGGGAGCTTTGGAAAATGCCGCAGAGCACCGATATGGACGTCTAAACGAGCACGATACTGAAGAAGAAATACCAGGCGCTTTCGGACCGCGGCGAGATGGATACGGATCGTGAGATTGATGAGTACCGGGCAGTCAAACGAAAGAAGCGGTTACGTCAAAATAATATAGAAAATTCGATTCTGATACAGAATGCTTTTGACGTTCAGAAGCCATCTACATCCAAAATAGAGAAGTTAGCAGCCAAAAAAAACTTCCGTACCAGATCCAAGAATACCACCAATAATTGACAAAGACCAGCTTGATTTGAAAATAATTAAATACATTAATGATACATCAAAAATAATTTTTAGAACGCAATACATGAAACCACAACTATACAAAATTTTCGCCGACACTCTAAAAGAACATAAAAAATTAAAGAACATATTGCGGGATAGTAATATTTCAGTTCTACACAAATGACAAATAAATATAAATATAAAAGTTAATAACTTAACGACATGTCCATAAATCACACACGCAACGTACACATAATGTACTTTAACTCAAACGGACTCAAAAACAACATAGACGAACTGAAACAGACTATAACAAATTATGACCTGGACATTGTATTGATTAATGAGACACACCTAAAACCTACGGACAGACTTTACATCAACAACTAAAATAACAGCTATCAATGTATACAAAAGAGGTCAAAACGTAACTTTAATATTGATTTACATCACGGCAAGCGAACTGCAACTGACGGACTTACAAAACCTACTTGACACAAATTCCCACGACTTAATGGCAGGAGACTTCAAAGCAAAACACATATCCTGAAACTGCAACTACAACAACGTGAACGGAACCCGACTTTACGAATATCTGACCGAACACAATACCACAAACGCACAACTACACTATCCAGACACGCCGACTAGATACGCGACCGTGAAGATACACCATCACAACACGATCGATTTGGTCTTAACAAAAAATTTACACGTAACATCCGAACCCATAACAAGAACAGTTTTCAACTCTGACCATAACCCTGTTTTCATGACTCGACAGACAGACTCGACGTTGACCAGACTCCTGAACACAACATTTTTGATTATTCTAGAGTCAACTGGCCACTTTGCAGAGATATTAATACAAACAATATGCGACACACGATACCCATAGAGACCAATACAGATATAGCAACAACGCATATATATTGATATTTTCCTGCTTCATGGAAAACTTCAACCATGTTTTCTATTTTGAAGCCAAGACAACAGCCAGACTCTCCGCAAAATTACAGACCAATCAGCTTCCTCAACACAATGAGCAAAGTGAATGAAAAGATACTGCTCAAACGCATTAACACACACATCAGACAAAACAAAATCATACCAGACACTCAGTACGGATTTAAGGAACAACACTCTTTGTTACATCCACTCACACAACTAATAGAAAACACTATACTCAACTTCAATAGACGAAACCATACCGGATTGGTGCTGCTAGATTTCGAGAAGACCTTCGACACCATCTGGATGGACGGACTGATACACAAACTCATAATTCTTAACTTTTCACCGTACATCACAAAATTGCTCCATTCTTACCTCACAGACCGTAATTTTACCGTTCAAGTAGACAACACACCATCGACGATTAAGCAAGGATTCGATCCTGGGACCGTCATTGTTTAACATCTACATTTACGACATCCCCACTGACGTCGACACAACGTTATTGATATTTGCTGACGACACTGCCATATACAGATCATCACGATCTCTTACGCTGCTGACTACAAAAATACAAAGACATATAGACGCATTGACAGAATATACGGAAAAATGGCAAATTAAAATTAATAAACAGAAACTATTTTATTCACTGAAAGTCGTTGGTCCATTACACTTGCTGACTTGAGAAAACTAAGGGTAATGAGCCATTAAGTTGAGTGGTCCAAGGACGTCAAATACCACGGTGTGATCTTGGATCATAGACTCAGTTTCACAAAACATGCAAATACTAAAATTGGACAGGCTTACGGTATGATAAAACTACTGAGACCTATGAAGACAAACGGACACTATACTTAACACTTGTAAGACCTTTACTTCTATACGCCGCTCCAGCATGGAACGCGACAACCAAGACCAGCCGACGGAGACTACAAATTGTACAGAACAAGGATAGCGACTGGTACTCGACAAATCAAGGGACCCACTGACGAGACACTACTACACAACAAAATATTTACATGAACAGACGGACATACCGACTTGAACATATCAAAAAGCTAACTAAAACTTTTTACAAGAAATGTAGGGATCACCATAATAATACCATCCGAGCCCTAGGCCAATATACACCGGAAGTGATTTGGTATGGCAAACATGTCATGCCAAACTACCTGATTGAGCCCGTAGCAATGTTATGAGCATCCCGTAAGAAAATACTGGAATTAGGACTTTTTCGGAGAGTAATAAACTTGTCCTTTTTTTTGTTCTTTTTATATGTTTGAAATATTGTATATATATATATATATATATATATATATATATATATATCAATAAATGAATTGTTAAATTATAAATTTTCGAGTAAAATACCTGCGGGTAGGAAAACTCGCATCATAAATTGAGTACATGAAATAATTTTTAATCTATTTACTGAAATAAATTTTTCTTTCTGTCTGTCTGTATCTCGCTGCGGTCCGATAGCGCCTGGTATTTGTTTTTTAGGACTGTGCTCGTTAAGACGTTCATATAGTTGTCCTGTGGCATTTGCCGAGGCTCCCACCCGGCAATTTTTACGATTGTATTGTAATGTGCACTGAATTTATTAATGTTAAATATACTACTGATTTAAAAATTTTGCATAACACTTTCAATGGGTGCTTTCTTCCTTCTCATTACCAATTCCAATCCGGGATTTGGGAAGAAAGTAGCAGAAGGCACTATCACCTTTAAAATTTTGCCGCAGAAGAGGAGCAAGCCCCTGTCACTTCTTGCTTTCTTCAAAACGCAATATATCAGATATTACGCTGATTATATTCTAATTTCATCAGCTCTTAACCTTATAAATCTAGAAATATTAAATATAACATATATAGTGAAAAAAATATTGCAAGACTAGTTTTATATGTTAAGAAAAATTACAAGTATTTAATTTAATTTAATTTTTGTTGTCTTCATGTAAATAAATATCATTTAACGTATTTTGCACAAAATTATATAGTTATCTTTTTGATAAAAGATGTTTTAGTTATGTTAAAAGTTTTCATATTTTTTGTAAATATTGCATACTGTAATTAATGATGTAACTAATTAGAAATTATATAGTAGTTATATTTTATTTTACTATTCAATAAAGAAATTTTTACAAGTTTACGTGCTTTTCCTTAAATATAATAAGAAATTAAAAATTATATTTTTTGCAGATTACCCAGTATTACAAACTCTTTAACCTCAGGTGGAGAGTATAAAAGTCCACCACGAATTATTCGAACGACAAATTTATTAGGTAAAATAATTTAATTTAATATTTATTATTGGCACCCACGATCTTGTGAATGCTCAGAATAGTAGAAATTTACTTCGAAGTATCTAATATTGTTTAAGGCAATAATTTTTATCGATTAATTATAGACTGTTGTCCTCTATCGCCACGTTCAGCGTCATCTAGAGAGCGACTTCTTCCCAAAGAAATATCACTACTTCAAGGAGCGCGAAATAAGAGACGAGGAGAGATGGAACCATTGACCGAATTGCCTTCATCGGACGAACGACCTGAGCGCGACGTTCAAGTCTGGTTAGAAACCAGTTCAAAATATCAGGCCTGGAAACTCGATGAAAATTAATTGTGCTAATCTGCAATGATTTTTGTCACATTATTATTTGGCCATTATGTACATGAATAGACAGCGTATATTGGATTTTATTTGTTTTTATTACTTCCATCAAACACCATTTTTTATACGTTAATAATGAAAACAAATTTACTAACTATTTTTGAAGATATTACGGTTATTATATCTTACAATTTAGAACTGCTAAGAATAGTAGATTCGATTGCAATGACATTTAAGAAGTCTTATATCATGTTATTTAACAATTTAGGTTTAACAAAATTTAATTAAAATAGTGGTCTATGGCATTGTGCTTTAAGGCAAATTGCTAGAACTTCCTGTAGCAAAAGTTTTTTATTTAAATTTTATAAAACAGATTGAATTACTTAAAAAAATTGAATAAAATAGATTTCTGAGAGTTTTAAAATTTTTGATGATTTTAAACTTTTTTCAAAGCAATCGGGCTTCTTTAGCTGCGTATAGACAAAATATCAAAGCGCGTAAGCGCTGCATCGCAGATTAACGGATAAACAATATTACAAAACTCATAAAAATATAAGCAGAGTTCATACTTATTATTAAAATATTAAACTATCTAATAATTTGATGGGCATATGCCTAATTAACTCCCTGTATGGTAGTTATAGTAATGGCCCGATAAACGAAAACTAGTGGGGCGCATGGCATCGTGCCTTAAGGCAAATTGGAACTTCCCGTACCAATTTTTTTTTTTTAAGATAAACATTTTTGAAAAAAAATTACTCTGAAAAAAACAGATTTTTGAGAAACTATAAATTTTTGACAAAAATTTACTTTTTTAAAAAAAAACAAACTTTTTGAAGATAAATTTATTTTGAAATATTTTGGAAATTCTGAACTTTTTTCAAAGCAATCCTACTGCTTTAACTGCATATAGACAAAATATCGAAGCGCGTAAGCGCCGCGCCGCCGTCTAACGAATAAACATTGGTACAGAACCCATAGGAATGTAAACAAAATTTATACTTATAGTTAAAATCTCTATAAAATATCTGATGTGCATATGTCTAATGAACACTTTTAACCGCCAGATGGCATTTTTTTTTACTTTTTTCACTAGATCTCCGAAATTGCTAGACCTGCCTTTATAAAAATTTGATCAGTTCTTCATCTTGTTAATACAAGTAAAATGTTTTTTGAGTTATTTAAATCGGACGCTCCGTTCTCTTAAAAACTGAGTTACCGTTTTTGGCACCTTTTGCCCTATATCTTCGGAACGGCTAGACCTGCCTTTGCCAAAAACTAATCAGCAATTATTCAAATCGCTTTATCCGTGTTTCCGAAATCGTCGACTAAAATTTGTATCCGAACACACAAACACACACACGACACACAGATAGCTCCCGTGTACAAAACTCCCCTACATGTAGGTAGGGTTTGTCACTCCACCTGACCAAGCAAAGCGGAAGAACGTCAATGATTATGGAGAACTATAAAGCAGAATCGTTTACAGTACAGAGGAGGGATACCTCAGTACCGGCGGCCGAGGGTTTGCGAACGGGCCCGAAGTCGTCGTCATCATGCGACCGTTTGGACAGCTTAGTGGATCCCATGGCTACGCTGTCGAGAAATGCTACTGGGAGTATAAAAAAGAGCGTGGAAAATCAAAGGATGGAGGCACTGAAACGCCTCGAAACACCCCTAACTGACCTCCACAAGATGATTAAGTCGAAATCAAACATTCACATGGAGATTAAGACAAAAACGAGCAGTGTTGCAACGGAGCGTCCGATTTGAATAATTCAAAAAACATTATTCGACCTCGATAATCGATGGTTGGAGAACCTACGGCATCCCTCACCAAAGTAAAACAGCCAAACTATTGCGGCAATTGAAGAAGCGAGAGACACCGGGGCCGAAGCCGACGATGAATCCGTCGCTGAAGAAGTACAAAAAAATTTGAGCACTGGAAAGAGAAAGGACCGGAACTCCCCAGACCCGACGTACGGTCAGGTCGTGAAGAAAAAAGACCTGAAATCAAGTCCCCCGAAGATTGTTGTAGAACAGAAAACCAAACAAAACGAGGTGACTGATTGGCATAAGGTTCAATCAAAAAAAGAAAAAAGAAGACTAGCCAAAGAGCAGCTTGCAAAGCAGCAGTCAAAAGAGCGCCGCCCGGAACCTAAGAGGAAGAAAGCGCGGAAATTTCTCAAACCAGACGTAGTCTAATTCGACCAGCAGAGAAGGCAAAGTATGCCGAGATACTACGTCGACTAAAACAGGACATTCCTGACGAGCAGGTCCGGACGACGGTAGATAAGATTAATAAGACCAGGACCGGAGACACGTTGCTCACAATTCTGAGAAAGTGTGTGGATAAAGGCCAAGGACTACAACAGGCAATCGCAAGCATCCTTAAAGATGACGCCAAAGTGTTTTGCAAAGGGCTACAAGAAATAATCGAAATCAGAGACATTGATGACGATACAACTAAAGCCGACATTCAGACTGCCTTAAAAAATGCACTTGGAGAATCCAGTCTTCTGCGCTGAACACCGAAGCGCAGAGGACGCTGCCCATCATGCAGGAACCTACAGATGTCCGATGTATAGAGAGGCACTCGAGAAGGCATCAATTAAAAAAGCATGAAGATACTGCAGCTAAATTTAAATCATTGCGAAGCGGCACATGATCTGCTTATGCAGACAGTGCGAGAGCTGAAGCTTGATCTTGTGCTTCTAGCAGAGCCATACAAGCATCTAACTGGTGAACTATGGGAAGCGGACACAACTACTAAAGCTGTTATTTGGTCTAGTAATAAGCTCACCTTTCAGGGCGAAATTACCAAACGCAGCGTCGGATTTGTATCAGCAACAATAGATGGCATCCGCTTTTACAGCTGCTATGCACCACCTAGCTTCTCCTGACTTCACTGACTTTTTGGACCGTCTGACCGAGGACGCTAAGCAACATCATTCTGTTAAGTAAGTACACAAACGCACGAGGAAAAGCAATACTAGAAGCTTTTAGTAAACTAGACGTTGTCCTGCTCAATAGTGGCGATACGCCGACCTACACCAAAGGCGATGCAAGCTCGATTATAGACCTCACTTTTGTCAGCACTAGTCTCGTCAGAGGTAACTGTAACTGGAGGGTGATGGATATGTACACAGCCAGCGACCACAACGCAATAATTTGGGAAGTATCGTCCAAACAGAATCTTGAAAGACCTATCCAGCAAGTTAACTGCGCTGGTTGAAAAACAAAATCTTTTGACCGAGATGCATTGCTAGTAGCCCTTGACGTTAGCCCGATCAACACTGGATGCGCGGAAGAAAGGACCAAAACCCTAATGAAAAGAATGACCCAGGCTTGTGATGCCAGTATGCCCCGAAAGGGTGGCATAAATTCAAGACCTGCCGCCTATTGATGGAATGGTAACATCAATGTCCTCCGTAAAGATTGCCACAAAAAAAGAAGAATAGCACAGCGTGGTTATAAGCGACCTAACAGCGAAGAACTAATCGCAGAGTACAAAAAATCTTGTCGAGAATTGAATAGAGCCATCGAAGAAAGTAACCAAAGATGCTGGAAAGATCTCATTAGTGAGGTGGACAAAGACGTTTTGGGTAGGCTTTACAAGGTGGTCATGACCCTGCTGAAAAAGCAACAAGTGCAGTCGCCTACGTGTCCTCATTTTCTTCGGAAAGTTGTAACTGCGCTGTTTCCACAGCAACGCAGTTTCAGCTACCAGTTGGCATCAACTAAACTGGATGGCATCCCACTAGTCACTGAAGATGAGTTAACGGAGGCATGTTACCGTATAGGAAATAATAAAGCGCCAGGATTAGATGGTATTCCTAACATTGCACTGAAAACTATTATTAAGGCAGCGCCGTCGTTATTTCTAGACGTTTACAACACATGCCTGAAAGAAGGGACTTTTCCCAGTAAGTGGAAGCAACAGCGGCTTGTACTTCTCTCTAAGAAAAATAAGCCGCCAGAAGAGCCCTCATCTTACCATCCGCTCTGAATGCTAGATACGGCTGGTAAGATATTGGAACGAATAATTCATTGGACAACCAGTATGGATTCCGGAAAGGACGGTCAACCCTGGACGCAATAAAGCTAGTTGTCAATACTGCCAAAAAAGCAATTGAAGGAACAAGATGGAAGGGAGGTACAAAAGAGTACTGCCTTGTGGCCACACTAGACATCAGGAACGCTTTCAACTGCGCAAATTGGGACTGCATAATGCAAGCTCTTGAAGAAAAGAATGTACCGGGTTACATATGTAAAATAGTGGCAAGCTATTTTACGGATAGATTTCTGAAGTACGACACGATGAACGGTCCAAAAGAATATAATATCACCGGAGGTGTTCCTCAAGGCTCAGTTCTTGGACCACTTCTGTGGAATGTTATGTATGATGGGCTTTTGAGATCGAAGATCCCAAGACGCGCCAAACTAGTGGCATATGCGGACGACGTAGCCGTAGTGATCGTTGCGAAACATGTAGACGAAATACGTCATATTTTCGACATTACCTTCGAGAAAGTTAATCGGCGGATGGACACTGTTAGTCTTCAACTAGCGACACAAAAGACGGAAGCAGTACTCATCACCAGCAGAAAAACCACAGAGATCATTGAACTGAAAGTCTGTGAACAAGAGATTATATCACAACCTTACATCCAATACTTGGGAGTGATGCTTGACGCCCGACTTAATTTTAAGCAGCAAGTAAAACAAGTAAGTGACAAGGCATCAGTAGTGAGTTCTTGTCTTGCACGATTGATGCCTAACATCGGCGGGCCAAAGCAGAGCAGAAGACTCAAACTTTCATCAGTAGTTCAGTGCTCACTTATGGAATACCTATTTGGACAGACGCACTAGAGGTCCAAGAATCATGGAGGAAAGCTGGCCCTGTATACCGCTTGAGTGCGTTACGAGTAGTATGCGGTTTCCGCACAATATCTGAGGAAGCGGTATGTGTCATTGCCGGGACTCTGCCTCTTAGAGTCTTAGCTGAGGAAATAAAAAATCTTTACCAACGCAAGAGGTCAACGATACTAAGCGCTGATGATCTCAG